TGGGGGGATGGGGTTGGGGGGTGCCTAGCTCAGAGGGGCTGGGCTCGGAGCTGGGGGTCAGGGCAGGGGGGGGATGGGGTCGGGGAGGGCCTGGCTGAGAGGGGCTTGCCATGCCGTTTACCCCCACCTCCCAGAGCCTCAGCGAGCCGCGTCCAGGAGCTCCTGCCGCTCGGTCCGCCAGAGCTCACAGCCCTGCCCCCTTACCACGCGGCTCTGAGCGGGAGGACCTCAGGCCCCGCCCGAGCCACAGCGCTGTCCAGGGCCGCTCCTGGAGGCGGCGCGCTGCGGCACCAGGGGATGGGGGAAGGCAGAGGCGGGGGTAGCCTCCGACATTCTCGAGGGGTCCCTCACTTGTCCCTCCCCCCCTCCCCTCCGGGCGGCCCTGCCTACATAGAGTTTCACGCCTCTGTGACACTAACTCATATAGAAAAGCAGGAGACCCACCTTTCTGGTAGTTGGCAGTAAAGAGACATCCTCTGTTTTCACTTGCACCTGGTGAGAATTCATGAAGACAGAAATAGAAACCGGTGAAGAGTGATCGCTCCATGGAAACGTGTCTGCACACAGGTGCTGAACCGATTTAAATTCTGACGGTTTAATTCAGGCCATGTAAATTCTCCCTGCTGACTTTCTCGTCCCATCTTTCCGCTAAAAGTAAACAGGGTGACTGTGTGCAACACACACACCATGATCTTGTGTCCCTGTAGGGAAGAGTTTGACCTCCCACAATCAAAGCGCAGGGGGATTTAGTAACCCTATACAAATTTTTAAAAGCTCTCTGCCATGGTCTCCCTGTCACCAGCCACATTCATCCTCACACCAAACCCCATGTCCTTCCACCCAGCGCAGCTAATAAGGATACAGGGGCCCAGACACCCCAAAAACAGGGCTCATTCACTCGAGCAATACACACACACAGCTCTTCCCTGGTCTGGAGAGTGTCTGTTCCCTTTCCAGCTGGGAATATTGATTGACTTTCCAGCCATTGCTTCTTTCTCTCTCCCTCTCTATCGAGCTTTCTTAAGGGCGCCCACTACCATGTTAGCCGAGCGCCTTACAATCTGTACTGAGCCTCACCGCACTTCTAGGAGGCTGGTAAATCCGTATCGGGAACTGAGGCAGGGACACACTGTGATTGTGTATTTTTCTATCTTAGGTAATTTTATGGCTCCCATCACCGCAGGATCTGAGCCTCACACTCCTATCAATGTATTTCTCCTCACCACGTCCCTGTGTGGCGGGGGTGCTGTTATTCCCATTTGACAGAGGGGGAACGGAGGCCCAGCCAGGCTAAGTGACTTGCTCAGGGACGCTCAGGGAGTCTGTTGCAGAGAAAGAAACGGAAGCGGACACTGTAACATGGACAGGATTTCAATTGGGGGTTGGAGAGGACTGGACACATCACAGAAATAAAACATTATGCGGCCACTGCTAGCGGTGCCACAGTGAAGGGTGCAACAGGGATTTGGCTTGAAGCTGAATAATGAATCCGGGTTAACGTCCCCATATAGTCAGATCAGCTTCAGAGCTGGTGTGTCAGTGCAGGGCCTGGAGCAGAGATCATGGTGCCAATTCGAGGTTATTTCACTGACAGATTCCAAGCGTACACCCTGTCCCCCCCTCCCCCCCAAGTGACCCATCTCCAGGGCTGGAATGGAAGATCTCGGAGCCTATTTAAAGTCGCACAAACCCTTCTGCCAACGTGTTGTTATGAAAGGGAAGAGCCCGCCACAAACTGCACCCCTTGTCCTTGGAAACATAAGGGTGAGATTTGCGAAGATGTCGAGGGGATCTGGACCGCAAATTCCCCTTAATAACGTAATAGAGCCAGCTAACTGCCTGCCCAGCTACGTACCTGTGCATCCTATCAATAACCAATCACTGTGGAGTTTGGGAAGCATCGGGGGGAATGTTTAGGGCTTTGAAATGGGGAAAGGTACCGGATAAGAATAATTGAAGTTCCTGGGCCCAAAATTCGACTTCTTCAGAGCGTCCTTTGTCTACACGAGTGAATGAATTGACACCAGAAACTGATGAGAGATACAGGAGTGAGGTGTGAGAGTTTAATTCACTGTGGATTTTTGTATTTTCCTCCTGTGCCGCAATTGGCAAAGTGTGTGTGTGTGTGTGTGTAACACACTCTGTCTGTCCAGTGTGGGCACAGAGAGGCAGAGGGCCCCACCCTGTCCTTTTTATCATCTCTCTCTCTCTCTCTCTCTCTCTCTCTACTTCCTGGGCACTCCCACGTTATGCAAATTCCCACTCCGGGCTCTGTGTTGAAGTAGCAGCCCCAGGGCGCCCAGACCCGCAGTCCCCAGGCGCTGAGCTGCCCCTTGCGAGCTCTGTGTTGTCCCCGCCTAGCACACAATGAACTCTCTGCTCCTCCCCCTGCTCCTCCTGGCTCTGGCCCCGGGTGAGTGGCTGCGGGAGGCTGCGGGAGGCGGCGCTGGTTTGAGGGGGAAGGTGGGCTTGAATCTGACCAATCCCTGCTTTTCCCAGGTGTCCTGTCCCAGCTCCACCTCCAGGAGTCCGGCCCGGGGGTGGTGAAGCCTGGAGAGACGCTCACACTCACCTGCACTGTCACCGGGGGCACCATCACTAGCAGCTACTGGTGGAACTGGATACGCCAGGCCCCGGGCCAAGGGCTGGAGTGGATGGGACTATGGACCGGGAGCACAAGCTACGCCCCGTCTCTCCAAGGCCGAATCACCATCACCGTGGATTCTTCCAACACCAAATACTATCTGCGGCTGAGCTCGCTGACAGCTACAGACACCGGCACCTATTACTGCGCCAGAGACACAGTGACACAGGGCAGAGCAGGGACCGTACAAAAAGGGGAAGCAGATTCTAAGCAAAGCAGTGAGGCCAGTTCAGCCGGGAGTGCTGAGTGCAGACCCCGTCCCCTGCACACAGACTGTGTGTTTGTGCGTGTGCCTGTACGTGTGTATCTGTGTGTGTGTCTGTCTGTGTGTGTTTTCCTTTTGGGATCATATTGGCTGATGTTCTCCCAGCAGAACATTTCGTCACCCGCACTGCAGCTCCTGTTCCAGTGGGTAAATCGGCACCAAAGAGTCGAGACGTCTGTGTTGTCATCAAATCTCTCTGACATTTACCTAGAGAGCAGGAGCTTTAACACCACTCGCTGCTTCTCCCCTGTGCATAGAGCCCCCCTGCCGGCCCCATTCATCTCCCATCCCCGCTCGGTGAGACCCGCATGCAAATCCCTGCCCGGGGATTCCTGTTAAATACAAAGCCCTGGTTCTAGGAGCTTCAGTCTCCCCCCAGACACAGAACTGCCTGGTCCTACCCCTGGGGAGTGTCTCCATTAACAACCACCAGGACATCGTCACTGCCCTTCACCCTTCTCCTGTTCTCCGCCCCAACGGGTGAGTGTTTCATGGGACCCAGAGAAACACCGAGGTCGGGAATGCACCGGTTCCAGGCCAGATTCAGCTCTGTTCCCCCTTTCCCCAGGTGGCCTCTCCCCGGTGCAGCTGGCCAAGACCGGCCTGGGAGCGGTGAAGCCCAGAGAGACCCTGAGTATCACCTGTAAGGTCTCTGTTCCCGTCAGCATGGGGGGGTTGCTTCCAGCTGAGGGCAGGAATGACACATGCAACTGTTCTGTTTGAAAACGGACCTCAAAATAAAGTGCTTCATCTCTTTACTGTATCTCCCACCCTTTGCTTCTACAGTCACAGCCCTTGTTCTGACAGAGCCCAAAGACTGCACCTTCTCTCCATGCCCAGTTCCACCCGCTTTCATTGAAACCTATTGTCACTCTCCGGTGCCTGAACCCTGCCTTTCTCCCACTGCAGTTTGAGCTGCTTCCCCATCAGACATTTGCAGGAGAGATTCATTCCTATGGACAACACGTTTACATTGTTTAGATTTATTTGATATGCCCAGCATAGGCCCATGGATACCAGACTGTCATAACTAGAAATGGAAGGGTAACAACCCTCCTGTGTACAATACTATAAAATCCCTCCTGGCCAGAGGCACCAAAATCCTTTTCCCTGTAAAGGGTTAAGAAGCTCTGGTAAACAGGCTGACACCTGACCCAAAGGACCAATAAGGGGGCAAGATACTTTCAAATCTTGGGGGGGTGGAAGGCTTTTGTTTGTGCTCTTTGTTTGAGGGTTGTTCGCTCTCGGGACTAAGGCTAGGTCTACACTACAGGGGGGGTCGACCTAAGATACACAACTTCAGCTACGTGAATCGCGTAGCTGAAGTTGTGTATTTTAGGTCGACTTACCTGGCTGTGAGGACGGCGGTGAGTCGACCGCTGCCACGCCGCCGTCGACTCTGCTTCCGCCTCTTGCCGCGGTGGATTTCCGGAGTCGACGGCAGAGCCATCGGGGATCGATTTTATCGCGTATTCACTAGACGCGATAAGTCGATCCCCAATAGATCGATTGCTACCTGCCGATTCGGCGGGTAGTGAAGACGTGCCCTAAGAGGGACCAGACATCAATCCATGCTCTCCAAATCTTTCTGAACAACTCTCTCATATCTGAAACTTGTAAGTAACAGCCAGGCAAGGCGTATTAGTTTATCTTTGTTTTCTCAACTTATGAATGTTCCTTTGCAAGAGGGAGGTATCCCTGTTTTGCTGTAACTTTGAAACTAAGGCTAGAGGGGGTTCTTCTGGGCTCTCTGAATCTGATTACCCTGTAAAGTTATTTTCCATCCTAATTTTACCAACATGATTTTTACATTTTCTGTTTAATAAAATCCTTCCTTTAAGAACCTGACTGATTTTTCTATTGTCCAAAGACCCAGGAGTTTGGGTCTTTGATCAGTTTGTAACCAATTGGCTAGGATATTATTCTCAAGCCTCCCCAGGAAAGGGTATGTAAGGGGTTGGAGGGATATTTTGGAGGAAGAGGAACTCCAAGTGGTCCTTTCCCTGTTTCTTGTTAAATCACTTGGTGGTGGCAGCGTACCAGGTTTTAACCTAAGCTGGTAGAAATAAGCTTAGGGAGCTTTCATGCGGGTCCCCACATCTGTACCCCAGAGTTCAGAGTGGGGAAGGAACCCTGACACAGACAAATCACTGTGGAATATCAGAGAACAAAAGACTCTGTTGATCGCTTCCCCCCCACACCCACAAACAGGAGAAGTGCAGCTTGTCTCCTCCCATCAGCTTGAGCTCTGGGAGAATGGAATAAGAATCCATAACAAGGAGAAACTAGATCTTCATGCTGCTTGGACTCTGAGAAACAAGGATTACTAAGCATAAGCAAAAGATCCCTTGAGTTGAGCACAGTTAGCCCTAAAAGACACACAGAACTTGCTTCTTATAGAAGCTTCTACCACCTTTTAGAAGCTAAGACTGTAACTGGTTTGTGAGGGTATGTTTACCTGCTTTAACCTCATAAATAACTCTCTTCCTTCTTTTTTCTTAGCCAATAAATCTTTAGTTAACTAATTATAGGACTGGCTACAAGTCTTGTCTTTGATGTCGGATCTAAAGAGTAATTGACCTGGGGTAAGTGACTGGTCCTCGGAGAAGGGCAATAACCCGACTATTGTGATTTTTGGTGTAAGGGACCACCTATCACAAAGGCAAGCTTTGGTAGATTGGCCCCACTGAGCGAAACCCACTTGCCAATCCCTACCCAAGGGGTCTCCCTGGGGTGTAAAGGTGACACCTGTCCCCGAGGGGACATTGCCATGTACTGAGCGCTCACCCACGTCATCTCTTATACCCACCCCGGGAACCCGCATGCAAATCCCTGCCCTGGGGGGTTCCTGTTAAATACCAACCCCTGGTTCTAGAAGCCCCAGTCTCTCCCCAGACACAGAACTGCCCGGTCCTGCCCATTGCGGGATTGCCCTCTTAGGAAAACAAGAATGAAATCTCTGCTGCTTTTCCTTTCCCTGTTCTCCGCCCCTGCCTCTGAGTGTCTCTGGGGAAAGAGGGAAATTAGGGACCGATCCATAGAATCTTCTCTTTGTTTCCCTTTCCCCAGGTGTCCTCTCCCAGGTGCAGCTGATCCAGACCGGCCGGGAGCGGTGAAAGCCGGAGAGACCCTCAGTATCACCTGTAAAGTCTCTGGTGTCTCCGTCAGCAGCTACTATTGGAGCTGGGTCCGGCAGCCCCCTGGGAAAGGGCTGGAGTGGATGGGGATTATCCGACACACAGTTAACGGGGGCAGCACAGAGTATAACTCGGCTTTCACACCTCATGTCACCATCACCAGGGACACCTCGAAGGATGAAGTTTATCTCCAGCTCGGCTCCCGGACAGCTGCAGACACCAGCACCTATTACTGCGCCAGACACACAGTGACACAGAGCAAAGCCGGGACTGGCACAGAAATGGGAAGCGGATTTCTAAATAATCAGCCGAGTGCAACACTCGGTTTGGGCCCTAGGGGAGGAGACAGACAGGGCATTGCCGACAGCGGGATCTCAGGAGCCACCCCCGTTTCTCCCCTACATCCCACCCCCTCCCACCCCGTCCCATCAAGGAATTTCAAACACTTCTCTTCCTTGTGCTGCACACTGAAATGTGCACCCAGGGACTCACCGAGACTGGAGTGATGGTTTGGGATACCTCATATTTTGGGCACTTAACTGAGACCTTTTCAGGCCTGATCTCTAGAAAATGCTCAGATCCTGTATCTCTCATTGGCCTCAGCTGGAGAAGTGCGTGGGTGTCACCCATGGGGACCAGGTTCTCTGTATCTCAGGCTGGTCTCCAGATACCGAGAGCCCCAAATTCAGAAACCACTTCAGGACTTGTTGTCCCAAGGAAGCACATTTCACCTTCACTCCGCACACACTGCTCTACCTGAAATCAATGGGAGCTGCAGGTGCCAAATACCTCTGAAAATCAGCCCCGAATTGAAATGTATCATGAGACGAGAGATGGCTTTAGGGAAAAGGAGCTTGACTCGGTTTTCAGAAGATTTGGGTTCAATTCTTGTTTCCCCACAGACTTGTTAAGTGACCTTGAACAAGTCATTTGACCTTTCTCAACCTGGGTTCCCCCCTCTACAAAAATAGCCACTTGTCTAGCTAAATTGCAAGCTCCTTGGAACAGACACTGTGTGTCTGTGTAGCGCTCAGCACTATGATCTTGGCTGGCGCTTGTAATGTCTTCTGTAAAATTAACAATAAGATCTCATGCCAGAGTCATTGGGGACAGGATGTGAGTAGACAAATTAGCCCAGAGGAATGGGATTTGATCTGGAAAAGAGGACCGGCAGTCTCTGTCTGTAGCAGAAGATCTTTTCAGGGGGAGGGATAGCTCAGTGGTTTGAGCATTGGCCTGCTAAACCCAGGGTTGTGAGTTCAATCCTTCAGGGGGCCATATAGGGATCTGGGGCAAAAATCCGTCTGGGGATTGATCTTTCATTGAACGAGGGGCTGGACTAGATGGTCTCCTGAGGTCCCTTCCAACCCTGATATTCTATCAATACAAGAAAATGTCCTTAAGATACTGTTTCAACATTACCTTGCACCAGTTCTGTTAAAAACAATTCAGAGGCTGAATGAGGATAAATGTTGGAGAAATTGTGGTGAAAGAGGAGATTTTATGCATGCATGGGGACATGTCCTGTCATTAGAGCATATTGGGTTGCAATCCATAACCAAATATCACCAATTTTTAGATATTAATTATAAAATGATCCTTTGGTAATCCTCCTGGGGTTTCCTAGTGGAAATGGTCACACCAAAGGAAATAAAGAATTAATCTCTCATCTGCTGGCAGCAGCTTGGCTATTCATAGAATCATAGGACTGAAAGGGACCTGGAGAGGTGATCTAGTCCCGTCCCCTGCACCCATGGCAGCACTAAGAATTATCTAGACCATCCCTGACAGGTATTGGTAGCCTCTCATTGGAAAAATTAAAAACAGCCCAAACATTGAGGAACGGTTTTATAAATTTGCGAGTCTCAGTCTGTGGAGATGGAGAAATTAACACACCAATTATCTAGCCAGCAAATTAGATGGAGGAGAGATACAGACTCAGATATCTGATTACCTTTTATTCAGTACTCAAGCAAAAATAACCAGGAAACCTGTCCAAATTTTTGAGTATTAACATTTGATAGATATACCTGGTCTGTTAAATATGTGCACATAGAGATTTCACTCAATTTAATAAAATCACTAGAAATTAAATAGGGGGTGTAATGATGCTCACTCAGTAATATGGTAACACCCTGTAAATTGACAGATCTGATGGCTACATTCCTGGGTAATCTCTGTAATGTCTCTTTAAACAAAAGCCAACTGGTGTAATGGCATTTTTGCTTCTGAGCTCTACATGGGAAGGATTGATACACTTGTTAAAACTGACAAAATGAAGGGTTTTTAAAAATATGATCTTACTGGTATCATGCCACCAGAGGCCCATACATTTCGCAGCAATTATTTGAGATGTGAAGTCAATGTTCAATGTGGAAAATAAGGAAGAGGGCACCACCCCAACCCCTGTCACCAGGGGTTTTCCACTCACTCACCGCACTACAGCAGGGCTGGGCTAGGGAGCTAGTGCTGCTCTGGGAGGAAACAAGGGCTGGGGACAGGCAGGGAAATCGGCGCTCTTCGCTGAGAGGAATCTGGCGCTCATGGCTGGAAGTTGTGCCTGAACTGCTAGGGTGAAGATCAGGAATTTCCCCTTCCCACCGGGCTTCTCATTCCCACTCCCGGGCAGCGCTGAACCAGCCTTTTCATAAGCAACAGCAGCTGCAGCTTTGGGTCTCACCAGCAGGGTGCGCTGCGCCCAAGCAGAACGGAATTCGACTGACCCCAATCCAAGGCGATGAAAGCCCGGAGAGGCAGAGAGTTAAAGTTAATGTTTAAAATTAAATATACACAAGTTAAGAGGGAAGGTACTGTACATCTGGGGTCCAGCTCGAGTTAAGAGGGATTACAGGTATCGGTTACAAGGATGAAGAGATGCATACATATCACATAACCAGCATAGACCCAGATTGGTGTGCGGGAGTTTTTAGAGCGTCAGTGGATAAGTGGACTCGGGTACAACAGTCTGTGTGGGAAACACACTTCCCTTGGGGCCTGTCCTGTGGTTTGCAGGTTTCCAAGGTGTCAGCAGGAGGGAAAGGACTTGTAAATCTGTGTATAGCAGGGCGGGGAGGTTGTGGGGGGGAGACGGCCATCTTTGCAAAATGAAGCTCCCTGTGGTCATTTCATCTCAAAGGACCAACAACTTTAAAATGACAAACATGCCCTCGAGGTGTATGGTGATGGGCAGATAGATAGATAGATAGATAGATAGATAGATAGATAGATAGATAGATAGATAGAATAATGCAAAGTGGACACAAAT